TTGAAAGGTCAGCCTTTTGGCAGCTCTGCGCGCCCGTGCATCGAGAAGAGGCTCCTCCTCTTCTTCCTCTTCACTTATGGGAGCTTCTGGAGGTTCTGAAGGCCCTGGCTGAATCCCTGCCACTGGCACCACATCTTCTCCAGCCTCCTCATTTTCTGACTCGAGTGCCAGCTGCACAGGCTGCTGGCACAGCACCACACCAGGCTCCTCGCTGTTGGAATCAGCTACTAGCTGCACAGGCCACTGACGGGCCACAACACCATGTGGCTTAAAACCCATTTGAATCCAAGGTGCTTTTCCAAAAGATAACTGGATATTCTTGGCTGTTGTTTTTTTTTTGTCTTTGAAAATGTTTTGATTCTCATCCAAGAAGCTTCCTCAGTCAGATCTTCCAAGAAAGTCCAGTTGCCGTTTGGAAAAAGTACCTTTGGGACAATCATGACCTGGATCTCCATAGACAACCCATCTGAATATTTCCAGTTGGGGAAAGCAGAAATATCAGCAGTTTCAGGCAGCTCCTCGGCACAAAAATATTTTTGCGGTTATTGCTCTCTTTGGTTATCCGACTTGACTCTCCTATAAACACCAGAGGCATCAACTCTGCACTGCAGGATCATTAGAAAGGGATGTTGCATAGCCACAGCCTGAAAGGAAAACCTCAGATTAATACAATTGTATTTTATAAATAGGTTAGTCACATTTCCTATCACTGCTCACCCACAACCACTCAAACCGCAGAGGTCATCACTGCAACTCCAAAGTCTCAGTGTTGGCCTGCTTAACTGGTGGCCATACAGGAACTCCATTCTGTATGTCGTCACAAGTCTTTTGTAACTTCCAGTAATTTCTTTGCCTTACATACCATATACCGTATTTTTCGGTGTATAAAACGCACTTTCTCTCCCCCCACCCAAAAGTGGGTGGAAATGTCTGTACGTCTTATACAGTGAATGTTGCAGAAGCCCCGCCCACCCACCGGCCCCCATCCTTCGGCCTCTGCCTCCCAGCAATTTTCCTTAGGATTAGGATTAGGATTAGGATCAGCTCAAAACTGGGTAGCCAATGAAGACACTGTAAAAATACCATATTTTTCGGACTATAAGACGCACCTAGCTTTTGTGGAGGAAAACAAGAAAAAAAAAAAATCTGCCTCTGCCTCGCAGCAATTTGCCTCCTTGCAGCAAACAGCAAACAACCTGGTCAGCTTCAGCACAGCCTGATTTAGCACGAGCACCTGATTGGCGGTTGGATCTGCCTCCTGGAATATTGCCTATCAGCTGTTCCAGGCTGCGGGGATTGCTGCCACCCATTGCCGCCATTGCCGCCCATTGCTGCTGCCACCTATCGCCGCCTCCGCGTGCCCCATTTTCGGTCTCCACATGTCCAGTTTTCGGCTTCTGCGCACCCCATTTTTGGCCTGTTCCAGGTGGCGGGGCACCACCTATCCTCGCCACCAAAAACGGGACGTGCGGAGGCCAAAAATGGGACCAGTGGAGGCCGAAAATGGGACATGAAAAGGTGGCAATAGTTGGCAGTGGCAATGGGCAACGACGGTGGCACTAGATGGTGGCAATCCCCACAGCTTGGAATAACTGATAGGTGATATTCCGGGAGGCCAATGCAACCTCCAATCAGCTGCTCATGCCAAATGAGGCTGTGCTGAAGCTAATCAGGCTGTTCGCTGTTTGCTGCAAGGAGGCAAATTGCTGGGAGGCAGAGGCAGATTTTTTTTTTCTTGTTTTCCTCCACAAAAGCTAGGTGCGTCTTATAGGCCGGAGCATTTTATAGTCCGAAAAATACGGTATTTTTACAGCATCTTCATTGGCTACCCAGTTTTGAGCTGATCCTATTTAAATCTTCTGTTACTTCCCTCTGCTGACCATGAACATCTTCCCCCAAAAAACCACAAATATTCCTGGCTCCCTTGGCAGTCTGAGACTTGTAAAACTTAACTTTTGGTGACTTGCTTTGTGTTTGTGACTTCTTTCTTGTAACTGTGAAGAGCTGGGGGAGAAACATGAAGCAAGGCTAGAGAGTAGAATAAATCTCTCCCCCCCCCCCCCCGCTTTAAGGGTCCTGAATGGGATGACAGATTCACAGAGGGGTAAACGAGAGAATTGCTATGCTGCTATGACAACAAAAGACCAGAATCATTAAATCGGTGGTCCCAAACCTTTCTGGCTTTGCAGAGCAACAAGAGGAAGAGGAGTCGAAATAGTTCTGTGCAAGCGCTTGTATGCAGGGGTGGGATTCTACCAGTTCGGACTGGTTCGGACAAACCGGTAGCTCCGACAATCAGCTGGGAGCAAACTGGTTTATGCCGATGATCAGGTCCCCCTGCCCCCCCACCCCTGCGCTTTACTTACCTTTATCTTCTCAGTTGATTGGCGCGGCAGAGCGGATTGCGGCACTTCAGCTGTGTTACTGTCAAGTGATAACAAAGAATGTTAGTATTTGTAAAACTGCGCACGTGCACACAGCGTGCGTTAGGTGCACGTGCGCGAAGCATACGCGATCACCGAACCGGTTGTTAAACCAACAGCATCCCATCACTGCTCGTATGTGCAGCTCCATTTGCATGAGAGAGATGTGTACTCAGGCATGCGTGTGAAGCTCCATTTGTGCCAGTGTTGTGACCTAGGCTTCCTGAGTCATTAAAACACATGAGTAGTCCCAAAAACCTCTTTTATTGCAACAGCTGTGAATTACGTTCATTCACAGCTGAGTCCCAATTAGTTGCAAAAAGTCCTTTGGGAGAAGTCCTTCAGGATAATCACCAACCTTTATCTCCCTTGACACTCTGCCAAAGACCTACTTGGCAAAGCTACACGGAGTCCAGAATCAAACAGAAATGCTGACTGGGAACAGAATTAACAACGTTGCTTTCCTGCAAAGGTCCCACGGGGCTTTGCTCCTCTTTTAAGCCTTATGGGAGGCGCCAATCATCTCCAGGCCTTACTCCCTAGTCGTCCCTTTAGTTTTAACTGTTCTTGCCTTCTGGCAGATCTGCGCATGCACACACTACGAACAGGCTCCTCCTGTTCCTCTGCCTCTCTGATATCTGACTCTGGAGGCTCCGGAGTCCACGTATAACTCCCAGATAACTGGCCCCATCTCTGCCTCTGACGCAGAGCCCTCGTTCAAGTCTTCCCCAGACTCCAGGACTGGCCCATGTTCCTCCCCAGCCTCTTCACTGTCCGACTCCATTGCCAGCTCACAGGCCGCTGTCGGACCACAAGAGCCAGCAGCAGGCATGGCCCGGTTCCAAAAGGATCGCAGCTCAGTACCAGGCTACGGCCTGGTGCTCGGGGACCTCTGCATTAAATGATTCAGATGCAGAAGACCGAGTCAGGATGGGGAGAAAGCTGGCACTTTTAATGGGTGTCACTGGGTGGGTATAAAGTCTCCTGCCTTGAGCAGGGGGTTGGACTAGAAGACCTTGGAGGTTCCTTCCAGCCATAGGATTCCATTTTCTATTTAGCCGGCTCCACTATTTGCATCCTTAGTTTGAAATGGAAGTGCACATAGTGCATTTCAGTTGGGAAAGGAAACAATATTAATGACACCACTGAATGCAGATGTTGCTGCAACGATGAACAACAATTGTGATTGCAGGAATAATTAATCAATGTGCAGGTAGTCCTCGACTTAACGACCACAACGGAGCCCAAAATAAGCGAGGCAGTTGTTAAGTGAAATTTGCCCCATTTTACGACCTTTCTTGCCACAGTTATTAAGTAAATCATTGCAGCGGTTAAGCTGGTGACACCCGTTATTAAGTGAATCATTGTAGCTGTTAAGTTAGGAATCCGTTGTTAAGTGAATCTGGCTTCCCCATTGACTTTCCTTGTCGGAAGGTCGCAAAAGGAGATCACGTGACACCGGGACACTGCAACCATCATAAATATGAACCAATTACTAAGCATCTGAATTTTGATCATGTGACCACAAGGATGCTGCAACAGTTCTAAGTGTGAAAAACGGTCATAAGTCAGGGGTTCTTGGTGCTCTCTGAGCTTGCAGACTTTTCATTACCCAAACTAGGTAAACATCATCAGTGCTGGTTTGATGATGTTACCTAGTTTGGGTAATGAAAAGTCTGCAAGAAAACAACCAAGTTGTTCTGCCCCAGCTACGGACCCCAAAAAACGCAGCACACACGAAATCTATTCAAACCTTAGTTTACTGAATTAAATCAGTCTTTTACAACAACGGCTGTTAATTAATTGCATTAACAGCCACCAAGAATTCAAAAAATAATAACTGAAAACTTACTATGGTTGGCAGAATGCCCAGAAGCAATTTGCAGGAAGCTGATAAGATAAGCAAGACAAGACACGAAGGTATGTGAATGAAGTTGTTCCCTGCAAATTGCTTTAGTCGGCGTTCTCCTTAAATAGGCTAAGGGAGTGGCCAATTAGCCCCAAGCCTTATTCTCGAGGAGACCTCCTCCTGAGGAGCCACTCCTGCCTTTTGGCAGCTCTGTGCACTCGTGCATCGAGAAGAGGCTCCTCCTCTTCTTCCTCTTCACTTAAGGGAGCTTCTGGAGGTTCTGAGGCCCTGGCTGAATCCCCATCTCTGGCACCACATCTTCTCCAGCCTCCTCATTGTCTGACTCGAGTGCCAGCTGCTCAGGCTGCTGGCGCAGCACCACACCAGCCTCCTTGCTGTCTGAATCAGCTACTAGCTGCACAGGCCGTGTACGGGCCACAACACAAGCTCAGAGAGCACCGAGGGCCCCTTATTTCAACCCGGAGCTACAAATATTCTCCTTTATTGGTCGCAAGTCACTTTTTTCAGTGCCCCTGTAACTTCAAACGGTCACTAAAAGAATGGTTGTAACTCAAGGATTACCTGTAGCGACCCAAGTTCTAATAGGACCTGTGTGGATGCCCTGTGCAAAGAGGATTTTTCTCTTATCTATGTCCTTTGGAGTGGGTTTTTTTTTCTTTCTTTCTTTCTTTTTTTTTTTGCCTACTGAGGTCCAATTTCTCTTGCAGGTGGAAGAGGCAAAGATGGGGCACCAATCATTACTTTCCCCGAATATCCAGGTTTCAGTGAGATCCCCGATGAAGATTTTCTGAACGTTGTCACCTACTTAACTAGCATTCCCAGGTAAGTCTTCAACTACTGCAAGCTTTGATTTGGTTCTGAACCTAGATGACTTCACTCCTTATTTTTCCCCAGGGTAAGAAGGGACACAGTGGCTCAGTGGCTAAGACGCTGAGCTTGTTGATCGAAAAGTCGGCAGTTCACCGGTTCAAATCCCTAGTGCCGCGTAACGAGTTGAGCTCCCGTTATTTGTCCCAGCTTCTGCCAACCTAGCAGTTCAAAAGCACATAAAAAAATGCAAGTAGAAAAATAAGGACCACCTTTGGTGGGAAGGTAGCAGCGTTCCGTGCACCTCTGGCGTTTAGTCATGCTGGCCACATGACCACGGAGACGTCTTCAGACAGCACTGGCTCTTTGGCTTTGAAATGGAGATGAGCACTGCCCCCTAGAGTTGGGAATGACTAGCACATATGTGCAAGGGGAACCTTTACTTTTAAGATCAAATAGCATTATTTTCATCCCTTCCAAATTTTGGAATATTCCTTCTTTGATCCCGCCTGGATACATATTTTCTTAAGACCTGAATGCTTGCTGCCAGATAACCTGATTTGTCTGGGCCTCTGGCCTGCATTTTTTTTGCATGCCATTCATCTCTTGGGTCTAGCTTCCATACGTCATGGATATATTATAGTGGATAAATAGCACCCAACTTATTTATGAAAACAGAATCAATAATCCAAACAGTTTATATTCAAGATGACATTTCTGTATCAATTCCAGGATACTGTCCTTTCATACATAAGTGGAAATGAAAGCTTTATTTTATCATTTGGACTTCAGAAAAATTAAGTGATTGTTCACTAAGACTTATTTCTGTGAGTTTCTACTCTTACTTACTTACCTGACTTACTGTAAGAGTTGATCGGGCTGTGCCTGAGGGAGGGATCAAACATATCATCAGTCATGAGTCCCTGCACATCCATAAGAGTTCTAAGTCCAACCTACCTTGAATGCCTTTCTTAATTCCTGCTAATTTCCCTTCATCGTTAGTAGGTCAGATTCTTGTAGAGAACTTAAGCTTGCAATAAATCTTTATACTCATTTGAATTGCCCGAATCGCCTGGTTTCCCCGGCGCTTGACACCACAATTGAGCCTCAAAATTTTCATTGTTAAACAAAGAGGTTGTCAATTGAACTTTGCCCCATTTTACGACCTTCCTTGCCATAGTTATTAAGTGAATCATTGCAGTTGATAAATTAGTATCACGGTTATTCAATGCATCTGGCTTCCCCATTGATTTTGCCTGTCAGGTCACAAAAAGTGAGTACATGCCAATAGCCAGCATCTGAACTTCGATCATGTGACCACAAGGATGCTGCAATGGTCACTGTTTCAAGTAGTCTAATAAGGAGCAGATAAAGGTAAATCCTAGAGAGGCAGGAAATGCATCACAAAACAATGGAAATGAATGCTAGAGAGGAATAAAAGCTACATACTAGGCAGACATAACACCTGTAACAGTCACCTTTTTCAGGGCTGTTGTAACTTCCAATGGTCACTTAGCCTAAATGCTGATGCCACTACTAAAAGAAACTCAGCAAAATCCTGGCTCACATTACTCAGTAAGAGTTTAAATTTCAGCAAGTATCTTCCTTTAGCGTTGGGAAAGGCTTAGGCAGGAAACCCAACACAGGACAATGACAATGACGAAAAGCAGGATGAAGTATATAAGAACAAATAAAATAAAAATAAAGAATTATTTCTAGGCCTGGCAGGTGCCAAGTTGGAAAATTTAATGTTCCTTTGTAGAACTCATGACATCAGTGGTTGTGTAACATCTTATGATCTACTTGACCACAAAGGGGAAATATAGATCATGATGGCTAACCTTTTTGCCGTCGCGTGCCAAAAGCGGGGGGAGGTCGCCGTGCGCGTGCCCACACCCATAATTCAATGCCCCCTGTGCTCTGCCCCCCCGCGCATGCACACGTGACCCCCCCGCTTCCCCCTGCTTCTCGCACGCGACGGCAAAAAGGTTACCGGTAGGCCCAGTAGGCCCGTTTTTCGCCCTCCCCAGGCTCCTGAGGCTTTCTTTCTTTCTATTGCTGAGCACATTGTAAGCCGCCCTGAGTCTTCGGAGAAGGGCAGCATATAAATCAAATTAAAAAAAAAAAAAAAACAGTCTTCCCCACCCCCTCAGAAGTTCTCCAGAGGCTGGAAGCAGCCCATTTCCCAACTTCCGGTGGGACCGGAAGGCCCGAAAATCAGTTCGCTGGCGCGTGCATGCGCACTTGAGCTGAGCTAGGGCAATGCTTGCGTGCCCACAGATATGACCACATTTTTTTTCTGATTCATCTAAGAAGTTACTCATCTTAAATACCCTTTTTTCCCCTTTCTGCAAGGAATATAAAGGATTTATATTCCTTGCAGAGAGCTGATCATTTGCATCCTTTTGGAGAGTTGTTTCAAGGACACTTCAATGACCCTCTAAAAGGATGCGAATGACCAGCTGTCTGCAAGGAATATAAATCTTTCCATTCCCCACTATCCTGTCAGAGCTGAAGAAGCTTCTTGGATGAGAAGCGAAACGTCTTCAAAAGAAAAAACAAGAAAGTCCAGTTCCCTCTTGAAAAAGCATCTTTGGGACGTTGGACCTGGCATTTTTATCTACCTGTCGAGTCTTTGCCAAGGATCTGGGATAGGCAAATGTGGATGTTTGATAGTCTTAAAGGAATCCTAGCAGGATGTTTCGAGTAAAGCTGCCTTTTGCAATTGACCGATGGTGATTTTGTCAATGCCGATGGTGTGGCTGGCTCAGGAATTCTAGGAGTTGAAGTCCACAAATCATAAAAGGGCCATCGTTCCCCACCCCAGTCTAGGAAGTTAAATAATGGGTTTACCTTATGGATGGGTCTTATTACATGTTAGGATAATGTCTGGCTATGGGAGCCATAACAGCAGAATCTCTTGCTCAGGGAAGTGATGGTCTCTCTTTTGTTGGAGGTGTTGAGGCTGGACAGCCGTCAATTGAGGATGTTTTAATTTGGGGGTTGGAAGTAATAGCTTAAATGGCCCCCTTCCAACTCCATGGGTTTTTTTGCACACGTCTTCATGTTTACTGGGAAGAAAATACCCCTTCCAAGGGCTTTGTGCCCATTTTTGCTGCACTCAGTACAAATAGGAAAACATCCCGGGCTATCACTATTTATTTTCTGTGCCAAACGTTGCTCTGGATCCGTTATTCACCTTGTAATCTTTCCCTCTGATTTCTAAAATAAGGGCTTGAAAATATCTTCATCCTGAAACAATAAACTGTAAGATGGCCAACTCTTCTGCAAGCTAATGCAGAGTGATTGTTCTTTCTGTGCAGGGCAGATGTCAAATTAAAATTGTAACAGCAGCAAAATCTTTCCTATTGTGAAATTCAGCCAAAAAAAAAAGAGGATAGCATTGATCTATAAGACGGTGATGGAAACGGCTAGTCAGTAGGTCAGGAACAGAAGCAAAAATTGTGTCCACATAATAGGTTTAACCTGGTTTACTGAATAGCCCATGTTCATTTTCTATTGTTTGTATAATATTGGAAATCTTGAACACATCAGCTGATCTCGATTCACCCAGCGTGCTGAGCCACGCAAAACAGGGTTCACATGCTAACCAAAAAAAAGCTTGGATTAGACTAGTGGGTCTCACTTTTGTCAACTTTAAGATGTGTGAATTTTAACTTCTAGAATTCCCCAACAAGCATTCTAAGAGTTGAGGTCCATTCTCAACTTAAAGCATGCTGGTTGGTGAATTCTGGGAGTTGAAGTCTACTCATCTTCAAGCATGCTGGCTGGGGAATTCTGGAAGTTGAAATTCACATATCTTCAAGCATGCTGGCTGGGGAATTCTGGGAGCAGAACAGGGTGGGTTCTACTTACCTTTACTACCGGTTTGCAACGGAAGTGCGCACAGAACCTTCTGCACATGTGCAGATCACCCATGATGATGTCGTGGTAGGCGGAGCCTCCCACCGGTTTTACTACCGGTAAATCTATAGAACCGGACCAAACCGGGGGCAACCAACCACTGGAGCAGAAGTCCACTTATCTTCAAGCATGGTGGCTGGGGAATTCTGGAAGCTGAAATTCACATATCTTCAAGCATGATGGCTGAGGAACTCTGGGGGCTGAAGTTCATATAACTTCAAGCATGCTGGCTGGGGAATTCTGAGAGTTGAAGTCCACACATCTTAAAGTTACCAAGATTGAGAAACAGTCATTAGACTATCTCCAATTAATCATTCCATCTTTTTTCTATTTTATGATTCTATGACTCTGAGTCCCAGGTCACTTCCCCAGTTCTGTTTTATGATTAATTTTTGGCATGTATTTTGCTGGTGGCATGTAGCAAAGATGAAATTGCAGCATCCTTTTGATTTCTGAAAATGTCTTTGGACCGCAAATGGTTCCCCCCCCCTCCCCCCCCCCCCAGAAGACAGATCCCTTTAAACATCAAGACAAAGGGCTAAGAAATTTCTCTGGTAGTTTTAGCCTCTTGAAATTATCCCTCTTGAGTTCTTAGTTGTCCTCCTCTGTTGGCAATCAGTTAAAAACAACATTACAAGTACCAAGGACAGCACAGGTAGTTCTCAACGTACGAGCGTTCATTTAGTGACTATTCAAAGTTACAACGGCATTGGAAAAAAAGTGACTTATGACCATTTTTCACACTTAATGATCACTGCATCATCCTCATGTCATCCTAGAGATTGTGTGGGTTTTTTAACCTGGGTTTGGAAGCCGTGTTAGAAGTTATTCCTTCATGTTCCCTGTGATATGAGCCTTGGTAGTACAGTGGTCTAAGGCACCCTGTTATTAAGCAGGTTATTAAGACCAGCTGCCTGCAATTATTGCAGGTTCAATCTCGCCAAGGCTCAAGGTTGATTCAGCCTTCCATCCTTTCTAAGGTAGGTAAATTGAGGACCCAGTTTGTGGGGGCAATAAGCTGACTTTGTATAAATATACAAAAGAATGAAGGCTATTGCTTAACGCACTGTAAGCCGCCCTGAGTCTCTGGAGAAGGGTGGCATATAAATCAAATTAAAAAATAAAATAAAATAAAAAATAAATATAGGTGGTCCTCAACTTACAATAATTCATTTATAATAATAATAACTTTATTGTCATTGTACGTGTATACACAGTATACCCATACAACGAAATTCACTTAACACCCAAAGACCAGCTCCAATACACATAACAATTCCCCAAACACACTCTCACCCACCACAAATCCCCCATCCCTAAACCACCCAAACATCCACACAACAGAGCAAGTAATGCTGTCCAACAGCTCACTGATGGTGGCCCTTTAGTTCATTGTTGAGTGCAATTATAGCTCTGGGATAAAAACTATTCAGAAAACGTGCGGTCCGAGTTTTAATTGTTCTATATCTTCTGCCAGAAGGCAACAGTCCAAAAAGATTGTAAGCAGGATGGGAAGAGTCTCTGAGAATGTTATGCAACTTTCTCAAACAGCGAGATTCGAAGATGTCGTCCAGGGCAGCTAGCTGGAGCCCGATGATATTCTGGGCAGTTTTAATGATTTAGTGACCTTTGAACCTACGACAGCACTGAAAAAAGCGATTATGACCATTTTTCACATTTATGACCATTGTAAACATCCCCATGGTCCCGTGATCCAAATTCAGAAGCTTGGCAACTGACTCATCTTTATGACGGTTGCAGTGTCCCTGGGGGCCAAGTGATTCCTTTTTGTGACGTTCTGACCAGCAAAGTCAGTGGGAAGCCAGATTCACTTAACAACCGGGTTACTTAACTTATCAACTGCAGTGATTCACTTAACAACTACGGCAGGAAACATTGTAACACGGGGCAAAACGGTAACAAAAGCCTCACTCAGCAACAGAAACGTTGGGCTCAATTGTGGTTGTAAGTCGAGGACAACCTATACGGGAGAGAGAATTTCAAATCTTCAGTAACACTCTTCATAAAATGAAGGGGAGGGGAGGTTCTTCGAAATGCAGGAGAGGGGGTGGTGACTTGAACTTGTGACTGAGGTTCAGAAAGGTTGGTGGTTCGAATCCCTGCGCGAGCAGGGGGTTGGACTAGATGACCTCCAAGGCCCCTTCCAACACTGTTACTTGGAGGTCTCGGGGTTAGATCCTAGCGGCACTGCTAGCACAGAAACCAGGTCCAGCTTATGAATTCTGCAGTCATTCATCCATAAGAAGAGTGCACTGCACTCCCACGGATGCTCAGATGTTTCTCAGATTTCTGAAGGTGCGTGTAACTTTTTTTTTTTTTTTTAATGGCACAGCCTCCCCAGGGATCTACTGGACTGGCACGATTTTTTTTTTTTTTTTCCCTCCTGGCCCACAAATTTAAGCAAAAAGCTTGTCCTCACCGGGCCTCCTTGCTTCCCCCCCCATCCCAACCCCCAGATGTGCCTTTTGCAAGCCTGAAACCTGCAAATAATCCCAAACTCGTCCTGCTGCTGTCATTTGGGGTGGGGGGGGGAGGCTGCAATCCATCAGAAGCGATCTTTGGGGTGGGGGGTGGGGGGTTTAAACTATCCCCGTTTGGGAAAAGCGATGCCAGGGAGGAAACGTGGCATGCCACCCACCGCCCGTGCCCCTCTGCCTCCCTGGCTCGGAGCAAGTGGGAGCAAATGTCTGCGCAGACCGGGGGAGATTTTTGCTGCAGTAACTGTGTAGCCGGGGAACGACCGGAGCTGCTGCTTTTTCGCATCCCCCAATATCTCCTCTGGTTATTTTGCAGTCTGGAGGCTGCCAGCATCGGTTTCATCACCATCATAGACAGACGGCGGGACAAATGGAGCGCGGTCAAGGCATCGCTCACCCGAATCGCAGTAAGTGTCGATTCCACGGTCTTTTTGCGTGCGCGCGTGTGTGGTTATTTGCTGCTCCGCGTGGCTTCTGGCAAAAAGTCCTGCGGCAAATCTCTTTGCTTTTTGCCCTCCAGACGCCCGCCCCTGTTGCATGCTCGCGGGGGAAAGGGGGGGGGACGATGACTGACTTTTCTAAAAAAAAAAAAAAAAAGCCCCCCCGAAAAAAAAAAAAAATCTCCGCATTTCAAATGCAAAGGAGCCGCGCTGCAACCTGCCAAGCCGCTCCGGACCGCCCTGAGAGCCGCCGGAGCAGCCTCGGGAGAAATTAGGGAAGGAGGAGTGTTTGTTTGTTTGTTTGTTTGTTTGTTTGTTTGTTTGTTTGTTTGTTTGTTTGTTTGTTTGTTTGTTTGTTTATTGGATTTATATACCGCCCTAATCCCGAAGAATTCAGGGCGGTGAACAGCCACAAAATAAAACACATAAATACAGAAATTTAAAAGCAGAATAAAACCGAATGAAACAATTTGGCCCAAGACAGATTTAGAACACCCCAGTAATTTAAAACAGATTAAAATTGACATTATAAAAGAAAAAAAGGGGAAAAGATTAGGCCAGGCCAGCTTGATGGAATAAAAAGATCTTGAGAGCGCGACGGAAGGTGTGCAGATCCGAGATCCTCCATATCTCCGGGGGGAGCTCGTTCCAGATCGTAGGTGCCCCCACAGAGAAGGCCCTCCCCCTAGGGGCCGCCAGTCGACACTGTTTGGCCGACGGCACCCGGAGGAGCCCCTCTCTATGAGAGCGCTATTTGTGGTAGCAGGCGGTCCCGTAGGTAACCAGGTCCTAAGCCATGGAGCGCTCTAAAGGTGGTAACTAGAACCTTGAGTGTGGGGGGGCAGTTGCACTACAATTGCATTTTGCAGATTTAGGGGCCGGTGGGGGTATTGGTTGGTTGGAGGGCTTCTCTTGCACGAGCTGCTGGGTCTCTTCCCTTCCCCGCCCCCCATTCAACCCAAAAAGGACAGCGAAATGGGACAAATGATGCACGGAAATATAAATAGCCTTGGCCCTAAGGTGGTGTTTATGCAATGCTTTTTGAAGGGCGCTCTTCCAAAGGACGAGGAGGGAGGGTTTTCCATTTTCCGTGGGAAAGCAGGCGTGTTCCTTTCACGCGTGGATTCTTCACGCAGTGGAGCTTTGCGAGTGTTGAATAGGGTTCCCACGTTGCTCTCTTTAAGTCCGGCTTTTAAAATGAAACATCTTTGCTTCGGATGGCCCGAAGCATGCTAAGCTGTAACATATAGCTTGCAAACTAACATGAACAGAGTTGGAAGGGACCTTGTAGGTCATCTAGTCCACCCCCACCCATGCCCAAGCACGAGAACCTACATCGTTTCTGACAGATGGCAGTCCAGTCTCTTCTTGAAAACTTCCAGTGATGAAGCTCCCACAACTTCCGAAGGCAACTTCTGTTCCATGGGTTGATGGTTCTCACAGTCAGAAAATTCCTCCTTATTTCCAAGTTGAATCTCTCCTTGGTCAGTTTCCATCCATTATTCCTTGTCTGGCCTTCAGGTGCTTTGGAAAATAGCTTGACCCCTTCCACTCTGTGCCTTCAGTGGTACAAATCCAAGCGAGGTGTAAATTAAATAATAGTATTGATAAATTTGCCAAAAGCAGAAGCAGCAGCCCTTGCATTTGTGAGTCAAATAAGAGTGGTGGGAAAAAATATTTATCAACCACTTTGAATGCAAGGGAACCACAAGAAGGGAGGCAGTTGGAAAATATTTTTCCCTTCTTTCTGCATTGAAGAGAAGAGCATTCCCGGAAGCAGGCAGGAAGTCTTTGGTGATTTTGTAAAGCTGTAAGTAACACAATGTCAAATATGGCTAGGAATCTCAGAACAAAGAATAAAAATGCAGGCTGACCTAAATAAGTTCTGTTTTTGAAACAGCACCAAAGCTCACTATAACCACGCTCTCTGTTTCTCCACCTCCCTCTCTTCCTCCACCCTCTCTTCTTTTTCCTCCTCTCCATCTCTTCTTCCCCTCCCCTTCTCTCCCCCTCTACAAGTCACACTCTTTTCTCCTTCTCCATCTCCCCTTCCCTCTCCTCTTCACCTGTCTCTTTCCTTTGCTCCTTTTCCATCACCTCTCTCTCTCCCCTTCTCCTTCATATCTGTCCCTCCTTTCACCTTCTCTCCCCTCCTCCTCTCCCCCTCCCTGTTTCTCCCTTCCTCCTTTCCATCTCTCCTCTTTACCTCCATTTCTCCCTCCTTCTCCCTCTCTCTCCTTCTTTCTCCGTCTCCCCTCCCCTTTCCCTCTCCTTTCTCCCCTTTCCCTCCTTTCTCTGTTCTGTTCACCTCTGTCTTTCTCCTTCTCTCCTTCTCCCCCCCCCCCTCTCTCTCCTTTCTCTCCTTCTCCTCTCCTCCCCTTTTCTCTTCTTCTCCCTCTTCCCTTCTTCCTCATTCCCTCTCTCTCCTTCCCTTCCCCCCATCCCCTTTACTTCCTTCTCTCTTCCTTTCTCCTTCCCTCCACACCTTCTTTGCCCCTGTCCTCTCTCTTTCTCCCCTTTCCCACCTCCCTCTTTCCTTTCTCTTTCCCTCTTTTCTCCATCTCTCACTCCTCCTATCTCCCTCCCCTGTTTTCTCTTCCCCTTCCCGCTCCTCTAATCAATACATGACCTACTACTACATCTCTGACAATTTACTCGCTGGCCTATGTCGGAAAACCTCACCACTTCATGTGACAGTCTGTTCCACTGAGTGACAGCTTGTATAGTCAAGAAGTTTCTCCCGAAGGCTAGTTTTAACTCAGGCCCTTGTAGCTTTAACAGCCTGATTCTGGTTTTTTCCCCCCTTTTATTACTTCTTCTCCTTTTATTACATTATTATAACAATTTCATTACAACTCTCAGGAACACCAGAGATTGACCTTCTGCTGCCTGTGCACCCTCTCTTATTCCTTTAATCTCACAGTGGTTGATTCAGTTTTGGTTGGTTTTATGGTGTTGATGTTCTGATGAAAACTGTTCCCTATAACTGATGGGAAATACAGGTTCGTGAGTCCTGTATAAAATAAACAATTACATGTCCGAATAGTGAGTGGGTGAAGAAGATCCATCTTAACGTCCAGCTTTAAAATCTCTCTCTTGGTGGCCAGCCAAGAGTCACAACAACAAAATATTAAAAACCGCTATATTAGGATAAGAGTAATTGTGCTAATAGCATTAAATTGGTGCTCTAGTGCACGGGTCTCTAACCTTGGCGACTTTAAGACGTGTGGACTTCAACTCCCAGAATTCCTCAACCAGCAAAGCTGGCTGAGGAAGTCTGGGAGTTGAAGTCCACACGTCTTAAAGCTTTGCTGGCTGAGGAACTCTGGGAGTTGAAGTCCCACGTCTTAAAGCTTTGCTGGCTGAGGAATTCTGGGAGTTGAAGTCCACACGTCTTAAAGCTTTGCTGGCTGAGGAATTCTGGAGTTGAAGTCCACACGTCTTAAAGCTTTGCTGGCTGAGGAACTCTGGGAGTTGAAGTCCACACGTCTTAAAGCTTTGCTGGCTGAGGAACTCTGGGAGTTGAAGTCCACAAGTCTTAAAGCTTTGCTGGCTGAGAATTCTGGGAGTTGAAGTCCACACGTCTTAAAGCTTTGCTGGCTGAGGAATTCTGGGAGTTGAAGTCCACACGTCTTAAAGCTTTGCTGGCTGAGGAACTCTGGAGTTGAAGTCCACACGTCTTAAAGCTTTGCTGGCTGAGGAATTCTGGGAGTTGAAGTCCACACGTCTTAAAGCTTTGCTGGCTGAGGAACTCTGGGAGTTGAAGTCCACAAGTCTTAAAGCTTTGCTGGCTGAGGAATTCTGGAGTTGAAGTCCACAAGTCTTAAAGCTTTGCTGGCTGAGGAATTCTGGGAGTTGAAGTCCACAAATCTTAAAGCTTTGCTGGCTGAGGAATTCTGGGAGTTGAAGTCCACAAGTCTTAAAGCTTTGCTGGCTGAGGAATTCTGGGAGTTGAAGTCCACAAGTCTTAAAGCTTTGCTGGCTGAGGAATTCTGGGAGTTGAAGTCCACAAGTCTTAAAGCTTTGCTGGCTGAGGAATTCTGGGAGTTGAAGTCCACACGTCTTAAAGCTTTGCTGGCTGAGGAACTCTGGGAGTTGAAGTCCACAAGTCTTAAAGCTTTGCTGGCTGAGGAATTCTGGGAGTTGAAGTCCACACGTCTTAAAGCTTTGCTGGCTGAGGAATTCTGGGAGTTGAAGTCCACAAGTCTTAAAGCTTTGCTGGCTGAGGAATTCTGGGAGTTGAAGTCCACACGTCTTAAAGCTTTGCTGGCTGAGGAACTCTGGGAGTTGAAGTCCACAAGTCTTAAAGCTTTGCTGGCTGAGGAATTCTGGGAGTTGAAGTCCACACGTCTTAAAGCTTTGCTGGCTGAGGAACTCTGGGAGTTGAAGTCCACACGTCTTAAAAGCTTTGCTGGCTGAGGAATTCTGGGAGTTGAAGTCCACAAGTCTTAAAGCTTTGCTGGCTGAGGAACTCTGGGAGTTGAAGTCCACACGTCTTAAAGCTTTGCTGGCTGAGGAATTCTGGGAGTTGAAGTCCACAAGTCTTAAAGCTTTGCTGGCTGAGGAACTCTGGGAGTTGAAGTCCACACGTCTTAAAGCTTTGCTGGCTGAGGAAGTCTGGGAGTTGAAGTCCACACGTCTTAAAGCTTTGCTGGCTGAGGAACTCTGGGAGTTGAAGTCCACACGTCTTAAAGCTTTGCTGGCTGAGGAATTCTGGGAGTTGAAGTCCACAAATCTTAAAGCTTTGCTGGCTGAGGAACTCTGGGAGTTGAAGTCCACACGTCTTAAAGCTTTGCTGGCTGAGGAAGTCTGGGAGTTGAAGTCCACACGTCTTAAAGCTTTGCTGGCTGAGGAACTCTGGGAGTTGAAGTCCACACGTCTTAAAGCTTTGCTGGCTGAGGAATTCTGGGAGTTGAAGTCCACACGTCTTAAAGCTTTGCTGGCTGAGGAATTCTGGGAGTTGAAGTCCACACGTCTTAAAGCTTTGCTGGCTGAGGAACTCTGGGAGTTGAAGTCCACACGTCTTAAAGCTTTGCTGGCTGAGGAACTCTGGGAGTTGAAGTCCACAAGTCTTAAAGCTTTGCTGGCTGAGGAATTCTGGGAGTTGAAGTCCACACGTCTTAAAGCTTTGCTGGCTGAGGAATTCTGGGAGTTGAAGTCCACACGTCTTAAAGCTTTGCTGGCTGAGGAACTCTGGGAGTTGAAGTCCACACGTCTTAAAGCTTTGCTGGCTGAGGAATTCTGGGAGTTGAAGTCCACACGTCTTAAAGCTTTGCTGGCTGAGGAACTCTGGGAGTTGAAGTCCACAAGTCTTAAAGCTTTGCTGGCTGAGGAATTCTGGGAGTCCTTCTCCCTCTCTCTCCTTCTTTCTCCGTCTCCCCTCCCCTTTCCCTCTCCTTTCTCCCCTTTCCCTCCTTTCTCTGTTCTGTTCACCTCTGTCTTTCTCCTTCTCTCCTTCTCCCCCCCTCTCTCTCCTTTCTCCTTCTCCCTCTCCCCTTTCTCTTCTTCTCCCTCTTCCCTTCTTCCTCATTCCCTCTCTCTCCTTCCCTTCCCCATCCCCTTTACTTCCTTCTCTCTTCCTTTCTCCTTCCCTCCACACCTTCTTTGCCCCTGTCCTCTCTCTTTCTCCCTTTCCCACCTCCCTCTTTCCTTTCTCTTTCCCTCTTTTCTCCATCTCTCACTCCTCCTATCTCCCTCCCCTGTTTTCTCTTCCCCTTCCCGCTCCTCTAATCAATACATGACCTACTACTACATCTCTGACAATTTACTCGCTGGCCTATGTCGGAAAACCTCACCACTTCATGTGACAGTCTGTTCCACTGAGTGACAGCTTGTATAGTCAAGAAGTTTCTCCCGAAGGCTAGTTTTAACTCAGGCCCTTGTAGCTTTAACAGCCTGATTCTGGTTTTTTCCCCCCTTTTATTACTTCTTCTCCTTTTATTACATTATTATAACAATTTCATTACAACTCTCAGGAACACCAGAGATTGACCTTCTGCTGCCTGTGCACCCTCTCTTATTCCTTTAATCTCACAGTGGTTGATTCAGTTTTGGTTGGTTTTATGGTGTTGATGTTCTGATGAAAACTGTTCCCTATAACTGATGGGAAATACAGGTTCGTGAGTCCTGTATAAAATAAACAATTACATGTCCGAATAGTGAGTGGGTGAAGAAGATCCATCTTAACGTCCAGCTTTAAAATCTCTCTCTTGGTGGCCAGCCAAGAGTCACAACAACAAAATATTAAAAACCGCTATATTAGGATAAGAGTAATTGTGCTAATAGCATTAAATTGGTGCTCTAGTGCACGGGTCTCTAACCTCGGCCACTTTAAGTCTTGTGGACTTCAACTCCCAGAATTCCTCAGCCAGCAAAGCTGGCTGAGGAATTCTGGGAGTTGAAGTCCACAAGTCTTAAAGCTTTGGTGGCTGAGGAACTCTGGGAGTTGAAGTCCACAAGTCTTAAAGCTTTGCTGGCTGAGGAATTCTGGGAGTTGAAGTCCACAAGTCTTAAAGCTTTGCTGGCTGAGGAATTCTGGGAGTTGAAGTCCACAAGTCTTAAAGTGGCCACTGTTGGAGACCCATTCACTAGTGAACAGCTTTGTGGTTTTGGCATGTTGGTTGATTTGGCCATCAGAGCTTTTCCTCTTCTTCAAAGGTTGAAGGGTTGGATCATTACAGATTTAGATTTCCTTTTTTCCTGTCTTTTTTAGGGAGCATTTCCCGGGAATTTGCAGTTAGTCTTTGTCCTCCGGCCGTCCCGTTTCATCCAAAGGGCGATCGCTGACATCGGCATCAAACTGTATCGCGATGACTTTAAAATGAAGGTACCGGTAAGCACTTTTCTCCTTCTGATTCTGCATCTCTCTGGCCTCCAGGAAATGTCTCTCCTTCTCTTCTTCCCTCTTCAGGATATGTCCAGCAGAACTGCAGATAGTCCTCGGCTTATGACCACAATGGAGCCCAAAACTTCCGTTGCTAAGCGAGACAGTTATTAAGTGAATTTTGGCCAGTTTTACGACCTTTTCTTGCCACATTCGTTAAGTGAATCACTGTGGCTATTAAGTTAGGAACACGGTTGTTAAGCGAATCTGGCTTCCTTTGCAGCATCCTTTGGTCATGTGACCACATTTTACGACTGTTTTGTCTATGCCTGTAGCGAGTTCGCTTAACGACCACTGCAAATAAAAGATTGTATAATCTGGTGGGTTGCATGAATGATCTGTTTTACAACCATTACTACTATAATGGACAGGCTCCATTATGGTCATAAATTGAGAACTACCTGTATATACAGTAGTATACATCCTGTATACAGAATAAGCCAAAGCCAAAATGTTCTCAGTAACACTGATTCACCAATGTGCTAATTTTCTATAGGCAGTGATTATTGAGTATCATTACAGGTAGTCCTTGACTTATGATTATTTGTTTAGCGACCATGTGAAGCTGGGGAAAAAAGCGAGTTACAACTGGTCCTCGCACTTACGACCATTGGTAGCATCCCACAGTGACGTGATCTCCACTTGTGATCTGCGCAGGCAGTTTCCAACAAGCAAAATCAATGGGGAAGTCTGCAGGGAAAGTCATAGAATAGAATAGAAGAGAATAGAAGAGAATAGAAGAGAAGAGAAGAGAAGAGAAGAGAAGAGAACAGAACAGAACAGAACAGAACAGAACAGAACAGAACAGAACAGACAGAGTTAGAAGGGACCTTGGAGGTCTTCTCGTCCAACCCCCTGATCAGGCAGGAAACCCTACATCACTTCAGACAAATGGTTATCTAATCTCTTCTTAAAAACTTCCAGTGTTGGAGGATCCACAACTTCTGGAGGCAAGCTGTTCCACTGGTTAATTGTCCTCACTGTTAGAAAGTTTCTCCTTATTTCCAGGTTGCTCCTCTCCTTGATTAGTTTCCATCCATTGTTTCTTGTCTTGCCTTCTGGTGCTTTGGAAAATAAGATGACCTCCTCCTCTTTGTGGCAACCTCTCAAATATTGGAACACTGCTATCATGTCACTCCTAGTCCTTCTTTTCGTTAAACTATATAATATAAATTATATGGATGTACCCCTATATCTTTCAGGAATCAAGATTGATTGGTGGAAAGATTTTGTTTTTAGACCTTTTTGTTTTTGTTTTTGTTTTCCGGTGCAGATCATCATGTTAAATTCAGTGTCTGACTTACATGGTTACATTGATACAAGTCAGCTTACTCGGGAGTTAGGAGGAACCTTAGAATATGGACACAGTCAGTGGATACACCATCGAACCGTAAGTACAGTCGTAGTAAACTGTTAGATTCTCTCCCAGCCTCTAAAAGTAAGAGAATAAGACAGAAATTCTAAGCTGCTGTTTCTGTTTCTGGAGACACATTTGACTGAAAAATGGGAATTACACTAGTAATTAAATAATAATTTGATTTTTAAATAGGAAGTTTAAACAAAGAGCAGAAGGTGATACATGTATTTTACTATAATGTATGGATAGATTAATCTAATTTTTATGTGTTCAATTTATGTGGTTTAACTTCTCGAATACATGACTTTGGATGGTCCACAATATTATGTAAAAAAAGGCAAATATTTAAAAAACCCAAAGAATAAAACATTTCATTGCGGTCTGCTCCTCAGATAGCAATTACAGTTATTACATTTATAAGTTATAAGTTATTCTGTTAAATTAGAAATAATACACAGCCTGAGAAGCAGAATACCACATAGACTTTCTGATTTGCAGTTGGAGAAGTTTGCAATAGTTTGAAATTATATTTGTCCCCTCGAAGTCCCTCATCGCTACAGTGGCTCGGGGCCATTAGTGAACGCATGGCTGAACAGAAATGGTCAAATGCTTTAGCAGTTCAGTACATCAAACTCCAAAGAAGGATGAACCAAACACTGGAAAATATGGATTACATCCATTTCAATAAGTGGCTGTTCAGGGACATCTGTTGTATGGGTTTTGTGTCAAGATGGTGACAGCGGCTGTCAAAGTATTTTGTTCTTTGTGTGTCTTTGTTTGCAAATGGAGCACACACATTAAAAGCATCTTTTACAATGTGTTCCATTGCTGGACATTTAAAGAAATGGAGGGAAGTCAATACAGGTAATCCTCGACTTACAACCACAGTTGAACCAGCGGTGAAATCCGGCCGGATCTATCTGGCTCACACGAACCGGTAGCGCCGGTGGTGGGAAGCTCCACCCACCCACCGGGATGTCATTATGTCCTGTTTTGACCCTCTGCGAATGCCCCTGTGCTCCCGCACACTCCCATTCCTGAACCGGTAGCGAAGGTAAGTGGATTTCACTGCTGAGTTGAACCCAACATTTATGTGGTTAAGCAAGACAGTTCTTAAATGAGTTTTGTCCCCTTTTTACAATCTTCCGTGCCACACTTAAGTGAAACACTGCGGTTCTTAAGCTAGTAACATGGTTGTTAAGTGAATCAGGCTTCCCCACTGACTTTGCTTCTCATACAAGGGGATCACATGACCCCTGGATATTGCAACCATCATAAATATGAATCAAAGCATTAAACATTATATATGTTTCAGGATCAGTGGTAGGTTTGTCTTGGTTTGCCCCGGTTCGGGCAAACTGGTAGTGTCAGTGGGAAGCTTCGCCCACCTGCCTGGACATCATCACGGATGCTCTGCGCATGCACAGAAGGTTCTGTGCATGCGCAGAAGTGCCACGCGCAAGCGAAGTGAGAGAGCACATGTGCAAGCGAAGTGAGCGCGCTCATGCGGACGCTCACAGTTCCGAACCGGTAGCGAAGGTAAATGGAAACCGCTACTGTTCAGGGTGTTTTGTCCCTTAATAACTTCACAATCTTCATCTTTGTAAATAAAAAGATTATCCATAAATCTTCCTTGCTGGGTCTTCCTTTGAACTGAATAAACCCATTGCTTAGGTTAGGACCTGGCGGAACAAATTGAGAAAAAAATTAATCAATAAAGAGACATAATACTGTTTTATGGGCATGCGTGAATATATCAGTGATTTTTTTTCCCCCTGGCTTTTATGAAATTGCAGGTAGTTCTTAACTTACGACTACAATTGGGGGCCAGAACTTCCACCATCACTAAGTGAGGCAGTCATTAAGTGAATGACACCGAAGTTTATGACCTATTTCGCAGAGGTGGTTAAGTGAATTTGACTTTTCCCATTGGCTTTGCCTGGGAAGGTTGCAAATGGGGATCACATCAGGAGTGAAATGCTTCCGGTTCGGACCGGATCACCCGATCCGGTAGCGATGGCGGCGAATGGTTCGGAGAACAGGTAGCAAAAATCCCTGTGCCCCCCCCCCACCATGCCCAGCTGAGCTGTGTGATCATTTTATTTTTAAAAGCATTTTTTCTACAACTCTTCCGACGAAAAAATGCTTTTAAAAGTAAAAAAAAAAGCTTCTGATGATCACGCAGTTCAGCTGGGATCATCAGAGTATTTTTTTCCTGCAACCTCTTGGCCGTAGAGGTGGTAAAAAAAACACTTTGAAAATTCTCTGACGATCCCAGCTGAGTTGCCTAATCGGCAGAGGCTTTTCAAAGCGTTAGAAAAAATGCTTTGAAAAGTTAAAAAAAAAAAAAAGTTGGCCATGCCCACCCAGTCACATTAACCCCCACCACCACCAACCCACGCCCACAGAACCAGTAGTAACAAATTTTACATTTCACCCCTGGATCACATGACCCTTGGATGGACAGTGCAACCATCATAAATACATGCTGGTTGTCAAATGTCCAAATTTTGATCACGTGACTATAGAGATGCTGGGACAGTTGTAAATGCGAGTACAGGTCATAAGTCTCATTCTAATGCCATTGTAACTTCAAACAGTTACTTAAATGTATGGTCGTAAATCCAGGGCAACCTGTATCAGAGAATATAATTCTACTGACCGTACAGTGCGCTTCTTTGAACCCAGAGGGATTTCATTCCAAATAAATGAATAATTTGTATTATTTGGGGCTTTGCATGAATAATTCCTTGTCTTTGTGAATCCGGGTGTAGCTCATGCTTCTTCTTTTTAATTTGCACCCTCCGCCCAGGCCATTGAAAATTTTGCCATGACTGTGAAAACCACAGCACAGATGTTACAGGCCTTTGGAACAAACCTGGCGGAAACTGAACTTCCCAACAACGTCCAGTGCACGGAAGAACTTTTGTGTTCCCACACAGAACAACACACCAAGTTGAAGGTGAGCCTGTGTGACTTCACAACTCTGTAGGGGATTTTGCCAGGGTCTCCCTGTCCATCCAAACAAAGGTTTCCTGAGACGGAGGTGAGAAGTCAATTTTTAATTATTTCATTTACTCATCCGTTTGGCTTATTTCCTCTTACAAGAACTCAGTATGGTATATACCAGTGATGGCTAACCTTTTTCGGACTGAGTGGCCAAAGCGCGATTGAACCCCCAAAATGCAATGTGCGTCCTGCCCCATGTATGCACCACACCCCCGTGAATACACACATGTCTAGGGATTGGGGCTGCCTGGACTCCACAGTGGAAAATATTACATTGAAAATGAATACAGCAATAGAGAGAGAGAGAGATGAAGGAGGGGAAGAGAGTTGGAAGGGAGGAGGAAGGAGAGAGAAGGATGGAAGAGTAGGGAGGAAGGAAGGGAAGGGAAATTAGAGTAGGAGAAAAAGTAAGACGGGGGGGAAGAGAGGAGGAGAAGGGAAGGGGAAGTAGAGAAGAGAAGAAGAAGGTGGGGAAAGAAAATAGGAAGAGATAGGGAAGAGGGAGAGGGTAGGTTTGAGGAGAAAGATTGATGTGCAATAAAAAAGATGAAGTGGAAGAAAGGCAGCTCCAAATATAAATATATTAAGATAAAGAATGAACTGTTTAAGAATAAAAGAGAATAAATATGAATAAATAGTAAAGTTAGAATCTAGGGACAAATGAAGATGGTTTATGTAGGCAAGTATAGAAATATTGAGATATGTTTTTAAAAAAAGAAAAGAAAAGGGGGAAAACGATTTTGGAAAAAATTGTAATTGAGTAAAATGTATTTGAATTTGATTAATTGTATAAGATAAGAAATGGTCAACACTGTTCAAAAAAAAAGAGATGTGGGTGAATGTGGGAGAGGAGAAAAAACCAATAAAACTTGTTTAAAAAAAAAAGAAGAATGCACAAATGTCCCCCGCACACACCATGCCCATGTGTGTGTGCTCTCTGCATGCGCCCCACCCCTTGTGCATGCATGGCAGAGACCTGATGACCAGCTGGCCAGTGGGAGGCGCACGCACATGCACGGCGGAACTGAACTGGGGCAATGGCTCGCGTGCCCACAGAGAGGGCACTGCATGCCACCTGTGGCACATGTGCCATAGGTTCGCCATCATGGGTATATACTGTAGGTAGTCTTCCATTGAAGTCTACAGTAGAGCCTAAAATTGACTTAAGCAAGACAGTTTTGAACTGTTTTGCTTCAGTTAGACCAGGGGTCAGCAACCTGTGGCTCTGGAGCTGCATGCGGCTCTTGGGCCCTCTGCTGTGGCTCCCTGTCAGGTGATCCCACCACTGGCTTGCCCCACCCCTCGCCCTCCCCTCCCAGTCATTCCTCGCCTGGCCTGAGAAGGTAAGGGTGACAGTGCGGGATGGAGAAGCGGCCAGGGCAGAGACAGAGAGATACAGAGAGAGGGGGAGAGAGAGAGGGAGGAAGGGAGAGAGAGAGATGTCAAAAGGATTTTGTGGTTCCCGGTGTTTTTTAACAACTGGTTCTCTGCCATAATGACCGGCTGGGTAGGCAGGGCTAGGGGGAAGTGAGTGACATCCATTTGGCCACGCCCACCCAGGTTTTGTGGCTTCCGGTGTTTTCTTTTCTGTGGGAAACGGGTCCAAATGGCTGTTTGAGTATTTAAGGTTGCAGACCCCTGAGTTAGATGAATCACTGCAGTTGTTAAATGAACCTGGCTTCTTTCACTGAGTTTCCTTGTCGAAAGCCAGCTGAGAAGTTTACAAATTATGATCACATGATCCTGGGATACTGCAACTGCCATAAATACACTCAAGTTGTCAAGCACCCAAATTTTGATCATGTGACCATGGGGATACTGCAGTGTTCATAAGAGCAAAAATTGGCCATCAGTCACTTCATCAGTTCTTTTCGGTATGTTCTTTTTATTGGATTAGAATTCTTCATTGGCCAAGTGTGATTGGACACACAAGGAATTTGTCTTTGGTGCAGATGCTCTCAGTGTACATAAAAAGACAAGATACATCTGTTAAGAATCATAAGGTACAACACTTAATGATAGTCATAGGGTACAAATAAGCAATCGAATCATACTGGGAAACAATCAATATAAATCGAAAGGATACAGCAACAAGCTACAGTCATACAGCCATAAGTGGGAGGAGATGAGTGATAGGAACAATGAGAAGATGAATAGTAGTGCAGACTTAGTGTTTAGTTTGACAGCGTTGAGGAAATTATTTGTTTAGCAGAGTGATGGCGTTCGGGGAAAAACTGTCCTTGTGTCTAGTTGTTCTGGTGTGCAGTGCTCTATAGCATCGTTTTGAGGGTAGGAGTTGAAACAGTTTATGTCCAGGATGTGAGGAGTTTGTAAATATTTTCACAGCCCTCTTTTTGATTCGTGCAGTATACACGTCCTCCATGGAAGGCAGGTTGGTAGCCATTGTTTTTTCTGCAGTTCTAATTATCCTCTGAAGTCTTGTGTCTGTCTTATTGGGTTGCAGAACCAAATTTATCTTTCTCAGGCTCCAAACCATGTCATGAAGTTTGGCTTATAACCATGGGAGCCAAATTGCTATCCAGGATGGGCCTTTGGGGCTAGAGAAGAAGAGAATTTGATTATAACTCAATGCACTTATGACCCTCGGGGTTCGATTCTAGCAATATGTGACAGGTGTTGCAGGACTTTAAGATTAAATGAGAACTTTTTTCCTCCCTCCCTGTTTCCCAATGTCCTACAGGATGAGCTGAAGCTAGCGGTAAAGCAGGGAGCCATGCTACTGACTTGTATCCGAGAACCTGTCTCACGAAGTGCCACCAGCAGACTCAGTCCTGATGAACTAGAAAACGTGGCAACGGTAGAAAGGTAAAGACCTCAACAGTGAAGTAATTTGTTTTGTAGTTCAGGTAGTCCTTGAATTAGAACTATTCGTTTAGTGACCGTTCGTGAATGCAGCCTGGATGCGTTGGCGAGAACTCACCGGTGTTGTTCTGCCCCAGCTACGGACCCCAAAGAACGCAGCACACACAAAGTCTGTACAAACTTTAGTTTACTAAAATAAAATCAGGTTTTTTTTTAAACAAAGGCTGTTAATTAACTTTCTTAACAGCCTGCAAGAATCCAAAGAATAAATAATCTTAATCTTACTATGGTTGGCAGAAAGCCCAGAAGCAATTTGCAGGAAACTGATAAGAGAACTAAGATCCAGACGCGAAGGAGAGTGAACGAAGTTGTTCCCTGCAAATTGCTTCAGTTGGCATTCCTCCTTAAATAGGCTAAGGGAGTGGCCAATTAGCCCCAAGCCTTACTCTCGAGGAGACCTCCTCCTGAGGAGCCACTCCTGCCTTTTGGCAGCTCTGCATGCCCATCCATCGAGAAGAGGCTCCTCCTCTTCGTCCTCTTCACTTAAGGGAGCTTCTGGAGGTTCTGAAGGCCCTGGCTGAATCCCCGCCTCTGGCACCACATCTTCTCCAGCCTCATTGTCTGACTCGAGTGCCAGCTGCACAGGCTGCTGGCGCAGCACCACACCAGCCTCCTCACTGTCCGAATCAGCCACCAGCTGCACAGGCCGCATACGGGCCACAACAGATGTGTTATGTGACAGATGAATGCCAACCCGTCTTAAATCTAAGATTTACAAGACAACCATCCGCTCTGTTGCACTGTATGGCACTGAATGCCGGGCAGCAACAACAGGGACCAAACGCTATCTCCATGCCATAGAAATGCAAATGCTCCATTGGGTATCGGGCATCTCCCTTCTTGTCCACATCACAAATGACACTATTTGACAACATTTTGGTGTGACATCAATTATAGAGTAGATGAGAGAAGGCCGGCTCCGTTGATATGCACATGTCCAGAGAGCAGTACCTTCCACCGTGGCCAAGACTACCTACCAACTAGAAGTCAATGGCCGGCAACCTCGCAGGTGCCCAAAACAGAGATGGTAAGACACCATCAACAAACATATGCAAACCGCAGCCCTGAGCCCTGGAGATGCAGCTGACTGTGCAAAGTGGTGCTCAATGATCCGAAAAATTGACCATGCACTTGCGGGAATACGCTAGGAAGGAGGAGGAGAAGGAGAATAGAATAGAATAGAATAGAATAGAATAGAATAGAATAGAATAGAATAGAATAGAATAGAATAGAACAGAACAGAACAGAACAGAACAGAACAGAACAGAACAGAACAGAACAGAACAGAATTCGTTTATTGGCCAAGTGTGATTGGACACACAAGGAATTTTTCTTGGTGCAAAGAAGAAGGAGGAAGGGAAGAAGGAGGAGGAGGAGGAGGAGGAGGAAGAAGAAGAGAAGAGGAAGAAGAGGAAGAAGAGGAAGAAGAGGAGGAAGAAGAAACAATTTAGGATTGTTTTTCACACATTATGATCATTGATTTGAATACCAATTCTGGGTTTACATGCCTGGGATTGCAATTTAAATTAATTATGATCAATTTTAGTGTCATTCCCACCTAAGCATTTCGTCTCTGTGCCTCAGAAAAGTGCTTGCAAAGTTTTAAAAAGTGTGTGATAAGAATAGCAAGAAGTTTAACTAATGGCAAAATGGGAGAAGAGGATACATATCCCAAAAATGTTAGGAGGATTTTGTATATGTTGTACCAATTTTTGAGACCAGGGCAAAAATGATGCTTCAGGAAATGCAAAAATCATCTATTGGATGTGGCCTAGATGACATGAAGTAGCCCAGACAAGAAATACAACTAGAATTGCTACTTCTAACTTTACTGTAGAGTTAGAATAAGACTAGACTAGACTAGACTAGACTAGACTAGACTAGACTAGAATAGAATAGAATAGAATAGAATAGAATAGAATAGAATAGAATAGAATTATTTATTGTCCAAGTGTGATTGGACACACAAGGAATTTGTCTTTGATGCATATGCTCTCAGTTTACATAAAAGAAAAGATAATGTTAGTCAAGGATCATAAGGTACAACACTTAATGATAGTCATAGGGAAACAGTCAATATAAATCTTAAGGATACCAGCAACAAAGTTACAGTCATACAGTCATTAGTGGAGGAGGTGGGTGATAGGAACGATAACAGAATCTTGCAAGATTTAACTTTTTGTCTTATCCTTTCCTTTTACCCTTTGGAAAACTAGGTAGGTGCACTCCTGAAACATTTTCCACCTGCCCTCCTCACTTTCTCTGGGCTGAGATATTGTTTATATGCTGGTTATTCAGTCTTCAGCTTTTTCTCCTACTCTCTGAAGGTCATTTCCACATACTCGACCATGAGAGTTTCCAACCTTGACAGCTTCAAGACTTGTGGACTTCAACTTTAAGACTTGGGGACGTCAACTCCCAGAATTCCCCAGTCAGGATGGCTGGCTGGAGAATTCTGGGAGTTGTAGTCCCCAAGTCTAAAAGTTGCCAAAATTAGATACCTTCTACCATCTGTAATCCAGCGCATTAACCAGTGCACCGCATCAATTCTTTGTAGGATAATGAAATAATTAATTCAGCCACTTTTTGGACTTCCTAACTAGCAGAATCCTTACATGGCAGGCTGTATTTTTTTTTTTTTTTATGGTGAGTAAAATTTGTCAAGTGCTTCCAAGCCAAACTACAGATCTTTAGTAGCTTTTTGCATTTGCTTGCTTTATTCTCAGAGTTGTAGGAACAAACCTGGATTGTTTACGAAAGAACTGAAAGCTTTAAATGTTGCTTTGCAACTGTCCCATCTCCGCGGAGAAAGAGATGGGTTTCATCTAGGCTTATTTCAGTATCTTGAAATTCAAAGGAAGAAATCATGTTTCTGAATCAAATGTCATTCTTTTGGCAGGTTGCTCGCCCAGTTGGATGAGACCGAAAGAGCTTTTGATCAATTTTGGTCCAAGCATCACCTAAAATTAGAGCAGTGTTTGCAGCTCCGACATTTTGAACAGAATTTCCGTGAGGTAACTCTTTTGCATGTCTCATAACCCTTAAATTTGTTCCCCCTCCTCCGTTGCCTTCCTGGGAATTTGGCAGATCGGTTTTGTTCCTTTATATGTACTATTCTCATCCAAAACCAAATCTGTAAGAAAGGAAAACAGATATTCAACTTATAAGACACCTGGGTCACTGTCAGCCAGTGATTCTTAGCAGGATTTCAAGATGGGAGAACTTGATTAGCCTTAAAATATCCATGATTTAATATCTAAACTTCAGATGATCTAGGTCAGGGGTCGGCAACCTTAAACACTCAAAGAGCCACAAAGGTCCTAACCGGAAGCCCCCCATTCAATTCTGGAGCCGACCAGAAGTCCGGTTCCCCCACCATAGAGTCTCCTCCTAGTGTGGCGTCCTTTTTCCTCTGCTGACCAGAAGTCCAGTTCCCCCACCATAGAGTCTCCTCCTAGCGCGGTGTCCTTTTTCCTTTACCTGCCCTAACTGAAAGCCCTATCAATTGTGGAGCTGACCAGCGACAGGGAACCGCAGCAGAGCGATGAAAGAGCCACATGCGACTTCAGAGCCACAAGTTGCTAACCCCTGATCTAGGTAAAGTCACAGCTGGACTAATGGGTGTTTTTTTCTTCTTCTCCAGATGTGATCAGAACAGCAATTGTAGGAGGAAATGTTTGTTTTGTTCTGTTCTGTTCTGTTCTGTTCTGTTCTATCCTGCTCCTGCTCCTGCTCCTGCTCCTGCTCCTGCTCCTGCTCCTGCTCCTGCTCCTGCTCCTGCTCCTCTCTATTTTTGTCTTCTGTCATTTTATATTCAATGATTTTAATGTTTATTATACTGTAAGCTGCTCAGTTGTTTGAAACAAGATGGGCAGTAAATTTAAACAAACGAACAAAGTACATTTCCACCTATTGTGTTTGAAGTAGAAAATGCTGCCCAGTCTCAAAGCTGATGTTAACCTCTTGAAAATGAGAACTGAACAAGGTCAATTTAGGAGTGTTTTCTATGAGACAAATCTTTGAATATTTTGATGATGGTTATCATAGTTTCCTGGTCCATTATCCTTTCTCTGTAGTTGTGTTTCTGGTCCTTAAATAAAGAGCTCAATAGCAAGTTACGGTCCCAACTCATTCCATAAATATATATACTTATTTGACTTGTACCACCAAGAACACATAACTGCCACAGATTCATGGAATAGTTTTGTGGATATGTAAAAATAATTCATGGATTCCGTGAACGTTTGATGAATAAGCGATGATCTAGATGGTACTTCTGCCATAACCACTGAGAAATCCAGTACAGGTAGTCCTCATTTACCAACCACAATAGGGACTAATCAACGTGATCCTTAAGCACGATGTTATGGGTCCATGCCAACTTAAGCTGGCAGTTCTGGCTGTGGACTTTAAGTGAATCACTGCAGGTCCTTAAGTTTAATGTCACAGAACTGATTTGCAACTTTCTGGCAACTTCCTCATTAATTTTGCTCATTGGAAGCTAGCTAAAGATTGTTACAGATGTTTATCATGCAACCACATGGTGTTGTGACTGTTGTAAAGATGCACCAGTTGCCAAGCAGCCAAATCACAATCATGTGCCCACAGCGACACTGTAATGGCTGCCACCTCAAGGACCTGTTGTGAAAGTTTTTCAGTGCCGTCGTAAGTTTGAATGGTCAGTGAATGAATGGTTGGTAAGCAAGTACTACCTGTATGTGAAATAATCCATGATGGTTATAGCATTTGCCAAGCTGCCCTCTCTAATTTTGTTTTTTTGCTTTAATTTATATGCCGCCCTTCTCCGGAGACTCGGGGCGGCTTACAATGCATTAAGCAATAGCCTTCATACTTTTGTATATTTATACAAAGTCATCTTATTGCCCCCACAATCTGGGTCCTCATTTCACCTATCTTTGAAAGGATGGAAGGCTGAGTCAACCTTGAGCCTGGCGAGATTCGAACTTGCAGTAATTCAAGCAGCAGTTGTTAATAACAGTGCTTTAGTCCACTGTACTACAGGCTCTTCAAATTGCATTAGATTAAAAATTCCATCTTCATCCAGCAGGCAACAATAACTGAAGGACATCGAATTATGAAAAGCTGTTTTATTATATTCTAGTTGTGGATAGAAAGTATGCATTATCGGTCAATCTGCGGTCTGTCTGTCTTGGTAGAAGAATTATTCCTTGATTATCTATGATTTGCTTTGACTTCTGTAGTCTAACAGCCAGAAAATTGTAGCAAATTTGCTCCACCTTTTTGTGCCCATTTTTCTTGTAGGTCAAATTAACACTGGACAACTTGATGGAAGTGCAAGCAGTTTTCACGGATATTGGAGACAGCATTTCCCGCGTGGAGCATATCCTGAAGGAACAAAGACAATTAGAAGAAAGAGGACAGGTAAATTGGGCTTTGTAATAGAGCTTGTTCTTGCTTAACAATCGTAACTGTGACCAGCAACACTGACGTTAAGCAAGACACCACACGATTGCAACATGGCTGATGTTGCAACATGGAATTCTGTGAGTTGAAGTCTACAGGTCGTAAAGGGGCCATAAATTACCCACCCCTGATGTAGGTGGCTGAAACTCCAATTAAATTGTGGGTTATTCCCTTAAGCCTTTTGATGTTTTCTTTGTCCTTCCTTCTTTTACAGGAACCTTTGGAAAGAGCCCAGTCCTTAGCTGTCCACGGAGACCAGTTAATCCAAAATGACCATTATGCAATTGATTCCATTAGACCGAAGTGTGTTGAACTCAGGAGGATCTGTGATGACTTTGCCAATGAAACCAAGAAAAAATACGATATCTTGGGGAAATCCCTTGAATTACACAGACAGTTAGATAAGGTAAGAAGGCTGGGTTACTGTGAGTAAAGCTCAGAAAAAATTAATTGCTCAATAGTATTAAAGATTCACGGAACAATATACAGTCAGTCTTACTACCACAATTGAGCCCAAAATTTCTGTTGTTGAGTGAGACAATTGTTAAGGGAATTTTGCCCCATTTTACAACCTCACTTGCCACAGCTGTTAAGTGAATCACTGCAGTTACATTAATCCCGATATAGTCAGTTGGCGCCATCTCTGACTATTGGGGGCGAGTCGTTGGCCCCCACAGATGGGGTTCGCAACTTGGGCATCCTCCTGGACTCACGGCTGTCTTTTGAAGAGCATATGACGGCCGTAGCCAGGAGGACTTTTTATCAGGTTCGCCTGATTCGCCAGTTGCATCCCTTTCTGGATCGGGACTCATTACGCACGGTCACTCACGCCCTTGTCACCTCACGCCTGGATTATTGTAATGCTCTCTACATGGGGCTCCCCTTGAGAAGCACCCGAAGGCTCCAACTGGTCCAGAATGCGGCCGCGTGGGTGGTAATGGGAGCAATGTGGCGCTCTCATGTAACCCCCCTCCTGCGCGAGCTGCACTGGCTCCCAGTGGTCTTCCGGGTGCGCTTCAAGGTTTTGGTTACTATCTTTAGAGCGCTCCATGGCTCAGGACCAGGGTACTTACGAGACCGCCTCCTGCCACCAATAGCCTCTCACCGACCAGTTCGCTCCCATAGAGAGGGACTCCTCAGGATGCCGTTGGCCAAACAATGTCGACTGACGGCCCCCAGGGGGAGAGCCTTTTCTGTGGGGGCACCTACCATCTGGAACGGGCTTCCCCCGGAGTTACGAAACATCCAAGACTTACGCATATTCCGCCGTATCCTGAAAACATTTCTATTCCAACAAGCTGGTCTGGCCTAACTCTCCCTTTTTAATTGGCTTTTAAACTGGCTTTTAAATTGGGTTTTAAACCTCTTTAGATAAATTTGGATGTTTTTAATCTTTGAGCCTAAATTACTTAATCTGTTTCTTAATAGTTTTTAACTTCTATATGTATTTGTATTTATTATGGCTGTTCACCGCCCTGAGTCCTTCGGGAGTAGGGCGGTATACAAATATGAAAAATAAATAAAATAAATAAATAAATAAAATAACTCAGTTGTGGCTTCCCCATTGATGTTACTTGTCAGAAGGTTGCAAGAGGTAATTTACATGACCCAGGGACAGTGCAAGCATCCTAAATATGAACCAGTTACCATGCATCCAAATTTTGATCATGGGACCATTTAATCCACCATAAATTTTTTGCATGGTGATCATTCATAGTTACGGAACACATAAAAAGGGTAGGATTTGATAAAATGATTATAGCCACCATTATAACTTTTGTGATCCCTTTTCTGTTGACTGTGTTGGCTCCCCTGCCTCTCATGCTACATAAAAGACTACTTGGCCTGAGATGGTGTATATGTTGCTGGCAATGTGTGAAAAACTGGTATTGTGTAGAATGCCTAAGAAATCTATAGAATGTGTGACATTTTTAGGCAAAGTATGAAATGTCTGTGTTAGTTTAACATGCTATATACTTTCCCTAGGCATTGTATATAATACCTAGGTATTATGCAGAATGACAAGAATTGTTTAAGCAAAGTATGAAAAGAGAGTCATGAAAATGGCTAGGATTAGGTTTACATAATCCCAACCCTAATCTTAATCCTAACCCTATTCTTAACCCTAACTCTATTCTTAACCCTAGCCCTCATCCCAACCCTAATTTTAATCCTAACCCTAACTCTAATCCCAACCCTAATCTTAATCCTAACCCTAACTCTAATTCCAACACTAATCTTAACCCTAACTCTAATCCCAACCCTAACCCTACTCTTAACCCTAACCCTCATCCCAACCCTAATTTTAATCCTAACCCTAATCCCAACCCTAATTTTAATCCTAATCCTAACCCCAACCCTAACCCTATTCTTAACCCTAACTCTATTCTTAACCCTAGCCCTCATCCCAACCCTAATTTTAATCCTAACCCTAACTCTAATCCCAACCCTAATTTTAATCCTAATCCTAACTCTAATCCCAACCCTAATCTTAATCCTAACCCTATTCTTAATCCTAATCCTAATCTTAACCCTAATGTTAACCTTTTATTTAAAAGATGTATATGAAAATGAAAGAAGAAATGCAAAATAAAATATAGGATTTTCCTACTGGGAAAAAAAACCCAAGAGAAAAGAGAAAAAGTCCAGTATTGATTACTTGTTGCAACAAGCAAGGCTAGAATGGGATTTTAGCAGGAGTATTCTACACTTTGCTGGTTTGCCTTTTGGCACTGCATAGAATGTGTGCAATATTAAGTGTTTCATCCTTTGGCGTTCCATTTTTGTCATTCTATAGATTTCCTAGGCATTCTATAAAATGCCTAATTTCACAGATTGATGGTAACATATCCATTTAATACTGTATATTAATGGTGCCAAGTCTTCATTCTTCTGCTCCCCTAAAACGACCCAGCTCACACCACAAGGACCCTGAGGAAATGTATTATCTGAGCTTTTAACAGCATATTCATCTCCTCTTTTTCAAGGCTAGCCAGTGGGGTGAAGCTGGAATCTACCTCTTAGCTTCCCAAGCTGTAGACAAATGCCAGACACAAGAGGGAGCTGAAACTGCACTTTGTGAGATAGAGAAGTTCCTGGAAACTCTCAAAGACTACCAGATGCTGAATGCAAAGGAGTTCTACAACCAGTTTGACATGATTCTCACCCCAGAAATAAAGGTAAGATCCTAAGTGGGCAGCCAGTGTTTGATGAACATTTGTCCAAGGGTATTTGAGAGCCTTCAAATCTGAAGGCAATAATGTCAGTTGATAGTCAATACCAAAGGTGTCCAACTTTGGCAGCTTTAAGACTTATGGACTTCAACTACCGGAATTATGGAATTGTGGGAGTTGAAGTCCGTAGAGTTGCCAAGGTTGGACATCCCGGATCAATGCTAAGACCAAGCATCAGGTGCCAAAAAGATGCTTTTGAGTAGAAGCATTGCATTGGTTCCTTAAAGGTAAAGGTAAAGGTTCCCCTCGCATATATGTGCTAGTCGTTCCCGACTCTAGGGGGCGGTGCTCATCTCTGTTTCAAAGCCAAAGAGCCAGCGCTGTCCGAAGATGTCTCCGTGGTCATGTGGCTGGCATGATTAAACGCCAAAGAGGCACGGAACTCTGTTACCTTCCCACCAAAGGTGGTCATTTTTTATGTCCTTTCGAACTGCTAGGTTGGCAGAAGCTGGGACAAGTAACGGGAGCTCACCCCGTTATGCGGCACTAGGGATTCGAACCGCTGAACTGCCGACCTTTCGATCGACAAGCTCAACGTCTTAGCCACTGAGTCACCACGTCCCCTTTATTGGTTCCTTACATAACCCCAATTTATTTATTTTTTCTCCTGCAGAGCAATGCCCAAAGAGTACTACAGAAACTCGAAGACGTGCAAGAAATGTTTGAGAAGAGACAAGTCAGCCTCAAGAAGTTGGCAGCCAAGCAGACCCGACCAGTACAACCCGTTGCCCCTCATCCCGAATCCTCGCCCAAGAGACCCTCTCCTAAAACCGTCCGTCCTGCCTCGTTAGGTAAGGTTTTGGGGGAATACCGTGGGACTGAGTGACTCTGGAGCCCCATGTTTAGAGAGATGGTCTCAGGAATGCCGTGCGAGACGCAATCAAAACACAGCTACAGCCTTATTCAGCTCTTTTGGCATGCTGGTTTATTCGCATCCGCGTCCGACTACACACTGTGATTCGTAAACACGATTGAAATCGGTGCTACGTTACACCAAGAATGGGGCGTTTATATAGCCCATCTTTTCATTAACTCATTAGGACCGCGCCCTTGTTTGTTACCACGCCCCTCTTTTAGGGGCGTAATTGGTCTTCAACGTGTTCTGGAAGGTGCTGCCGCTGTGTCCTCCGGAACGGCCCTAATCCTGTCGCACCCGATACCACCACCCCACACCCCGCATACGGCCGCCTTCACCCAGTGCCACCACCACCAAGTATGTATATGTCCCTCGATGCTTTCAGCACGCGTTAGCGATGTCGAGCAGGTTGCTAGGCTTGACAGGTTTTCTTGGCCAGGTGTTATCTGCCGATGTCCTTTCTCTATTTATTCAAGCTATCTTAGTAGGGTGCTGGTTCCTGGAATTGCACCCAGGTTAAGAGTCTTTTTAATCACCTATATGTTTCTACGTATTTACTCTCAAGCTAGTCCTACAGATCTTTCTGAATGTGTGAGTCATAGTTCTTCAACTACCGGTGACTTTACAACTCCTGGAATTTTCTGCACTGTGACGATTTAATGGTGGAACTTACCGCAAGTTGTGGTGTCCCCTTTATTGTAGTGTTCAGCAGAGGCTAAACAACCATCTCTCTGTGGTTCTTAAATTGGATTTTTTTTCCACCGAGCAAGGGATTGGACTCCAGGGCTTGTCTGATTGCACCTTAGGCAAAGATAATTGTAAAATAGCAGAATTAGGTCTTTTTAATTCTCACTTAATAAGATCTCTATTGTCTTGCCCAAGCCTGGACAGCAAGCCTACTGACCCCCAAAGGGGACAGCAAGAAAAGATGGGAAATGCAGGAAGAGAAGGGAATTCATACCGTATTTCCCTGAAAATAAGACATCCCCTGATAATAAGCCCAATCGGGCTTTTGAGCGCATGCACTAAAATAAGCCCTCCCCAAAAATAAGCCCTCCCCAAAAATATTTAAACACATGTGCAGCGGGCATTTAAATGGAGACAGAGCTGGAAATCAGGTAAGACGGCAAGAGGAGCTGCCAGTCTTGCTCCATGCGCCCCAAAATAATAAGACCTCGCTGAAAATAAGGCCAAGCACTTATTTCGGGGTTCAAAAAAATATAAGAGAGGGTCTTATTTTGGGGGGAAAATGGTACATATTTGTAACTGGATATAAGTAGTCCTTGACTTACGATCACAGTTGAGCCCAAAATTTCTGTTGCTAAACAAGACAGTTGTTAAGTGAGTTTTGCCCAATTTTACAACCTGTTCTTACGTGATTCACTGCAATCGTTAAGTTAATAACACGGTTGTTAAATGAATCTGGCACATGACCCTGGGACACTGCAACTGTCATAAACACGAGTCAGTTGCCAAACTTCTGAATCTTGATCATGCAACCATGGGCAACGGTTGGAAGTGTGAAAAAAGGGTCATAAGTCCCTTTTTTCAGTGCCATTGTAACTTCAAACGGTCGCTAAGTGAAAGGTTGTAAGTTGAGGACTATCTGTATAAGGATGCTGCCGGGAAAGGAAATGCAACAGACAAAAATAAAAGCACGGGCGTGTTTGGATTGCATGTAGATAAGAAAATTAACATTGCGAATAGCAGGAGAGCTATATTACTATATTTAGTTTTTATTGGTTATTTTTTTTTGGCAATGGAGCAGTAGTGAAAGGCGACATTAGAAATAGAAATGTTACTCGTTTCTCCATTAGGGAGCCTGCAGGGAATACAAAAAAAAAAAAAAAAGTCAAAATGGCACCAAGGGACGTGATTAAAGCCCCATCCCCTTTTTACCAGCATTATAAATTATATAGACCATTTAGAATACAAAGCAAAAAAAAGAGTCTTGAGAGTTAACAAGGTTGATGCTATATGGTATAAACCAGAGGTGGGTTTCAGCAGAAATTTTGAGTAGTTCGGAGAACCAGTAGTAAAAATTCTGACTGGCCCCGCCTCTATCTATTCTCTGCCTCCCGAGTCCCAGCTGATCGGGAGGGAATGGGGATTTTGCAGTAACCTTCCCCTGGAGTGGGAAGGGAATGGAGATTTCACAGTATCCTTCCCCTGCCATGCCCACCAAGCTATGCCATGCCAACCAAGCCACACCCACAGAACCGGTAGTAAAAAGTTTTGAAACTCACCACTGGTATAAAGCCATTACGAAATCTAGTTGTTCTGCTTTGGATACTACAAAGACTCCACCCATAAGGTAACAAAGAAAACGAGTCACGGAGAGGATTCCTGATGATACCACAAGCCCTGGTCAAACATCGCTTTTATGCCATGTCTTGGATAGAAGGAAGTGAACTTCCAATCATCTTTTCTACCATCCTCACCACTCTCTGCCCAACCTTCCTGTCCGAAACAGTGATAACTCCAAACCACACAGTGGATACAATAGGATGCTTTCAATAGTTCCTCTATAGAAAGTGATAAGGATAGAGGATGCCCTCCCCCACCATGCTGTGGAAGATGATGGTCAAGCACCCAATTCATGATCACATGACCATCAGGGATGGTGTGATGGTTATAACTTTAAGGATGAGTCATAAGTCACCTTTTCCTAAAGCTTCTGTAATTTTGAACCATTGTTGTAAATCCAGGACTATCTGTACACTGAACCCTCAAATAACGCAGGTGGGGTTCTCGCAAAACAGTTAAAACATTGTTTGCATTTATTTATTTATTTTATTTATTTATTTTATTTTATTTTATTTCTATACCGCCCTTCTCCCGCGGGACTCAGGGCGGTGTACAGCCAAGATAAAACATTGCATATAAAATTTAAAAACAATTTAAAAAACAATTAAATAATTTCGGCCCAAGATTTAAAAACAACCCAATTAAAACCGAATTCAATTAAAACTGAGAGGATGGGATCAAGCCAGCCCGGCTAGATGGAATAGGTGTGTTTTCAGGGCCCGACGAAAAGTCCGGAGATCTGATATTGTGCGTATCTCAGGGGGTAGGTCATTCCAGAGGGCGGGTGCTGCCACAGAGAAGGCTCTCCCCCTGGGGGTCGCCAGCCGGCACTGTCTGGCCGACGGCACCCTGAGGAGGCCCTCTCTGTGCATTGCATAAACGCAACTAATGGTAAGTAAAAAGGGGGGAAGAGAGGAAAAAATTCCAAGTTTTTAAAAATTCTATTGTATAAGCAGCACAATTAAGTTGGATAATTTTTTTTTCAGACATCTGATAACACAACTTGAAATGCTGCCTAATCCAGTGAGCTGCCAGTTCTTGTCTTTGTGCTTATGGTGTGGCATTTTCTAATCTTTTGAGAGTTCTGTTTATCTGGTCTTTTTTTTTTTTTTCCAGCTCCCAATAGAAGATCAGTAGAAATTCCTAGCCCTCCAAAATCCATTTCTGATGCAGATTTGTCAAAAAAGAAAAGTGTAAAGAAGGCTAAAGGTGGAATTAAGGTAAGAGAGTTGTGATATTTGCAAATTAAGTTTTCAGGAGAGAGATTTCAGCAATGTTTCTCAACCTTAGCAATTTAGAGAAGTTTGGAATCAGCCTTCTATTTTTCCGATGTCTAGACTTTGCTCCCTCGCCTCACAAGATTTTATTGCCAACAATGCACATAAAATTGTAGTAATACAGCTAGTCCTCAAGTTATGACCATAATTGAGCGCAGAATTATGATCATAAGCCGGTTATTAAGTGCGTCATCAAATGACCATGCTGGATTTCGCAACATTTTTTGCAGTGGTTGTTAATTGAACCCATTGTACCCGATGGCCGTTTTTTGCCAGAAATGTGACCACAAGAAGCTGCAAACGGCCATAAAGGTGGGCCAGTTCCAAAGGCCCAAAATGTGATCATGGGACTGTGGGGGAGGGGAAGCAGACATTGGAACTTCAAAACAGAGTTGTAAGTAGAACTTGGGGAGGTTCGTCATAACTTTGAACGGTAGTTAAAACAACCAGTCGTAAATTGAGGACTACCTGTAAATTTATTTATTTTTATTTATTTATTTATTTTTCATATTTGTATACCGCCCTACTCCCGAAGGACTCAGGGCGGTGAACAGCCATAATAAATACAAATACATATAGAAGTTAAAAACTATTAAGAAACAGATTAAGTAATTTAGGCTCAAAGATTAAAAAACATCCAAATTTATCTAAAGAGGTTTAAAACCCAATTTAAAAGCCAGTTTAAAAGCCAATTAAAAAGGGAGAGTTAGGCCAGACCAGCTTGTTGGAATAGAAATGTTTTCAGGGCACGGCGGAATATGCGTAAGTCTTGGATGTTTCGTAACTCCGGGGGAAGCCCGTTCCAGATGGTAGGTGCCCCCACAGAAAAGGCTCTCCCCCTGGGGGCCGTCAGTCGACATTGTTTGGCCGACGGCACCCTGAGGAGTCCCTCTCTATGGGAGCGAACTGGTCGGTGAGAGGCTACTGGTGGCAGGAGGCGGTCTCGTAAGTACCCTGGTCCTGAGCCATGGAGCGCTCTAAAGATAGTAACCAAAACCTTGAAGCGCACCCGGAAGACCACTGGGAGCCAGTGCAGCTCGCGCAGGAGGGGGGGTTACATGAGAGCGTAACAGCATCCATTTTTGGTGGCGCCATGTTTCAGAAGGTTTTGGTGGAAGTGTGTTGGAAGTAAAACTGGCAGGTCAAATCATTGCAAAATTTAATATATCTGTTTTCCACTTTCCAAAATACATACATATCCAGAAGGCTAGGCCCATCTTATACAACCGTGATGGCGAACTTATGGCATGCATGTCCAAAGTGGCACACGAAGCCATATCGCCTGGCAAGCGGCGTTTGCCTGTTTGTCTTCCAGGTTTCTGGCACACATGTGCATGCGACAATCAGCTGTCCTTTGCGCGCGCGGCAGTGCCCAAAACCAGTGTGTGCATACATGCCGCCCAGCTGATTGTCAGGTACACATGCGTGCCAGAACCCGGAGGTTCAGCTTTTCCAGAGCACGATTCCTTCACGCATGTGGCAGTGCTGAAAACTGGTCTGCACATGCGTGCGGGCCAGCTGATCCTCAGGCGTGCATACATGCTAGAACCCGGAAGTTCGGGTTTTCCAGAGTGCGGCCCCAACGAGCATGCGCGCACACGTGCGATGTTTCCGTGCAACCTTTTCGGCACTCGGTGCCATCACTGTTATAGAACATGATTGGGTCACCAGCTTTGTTTCCTGCAATCCTTGGAAACAGATCTGACAAAAGGAATCAAATAATAATAATTAAATCGATCTCCAGTCAAAAATGGCTTGATTTACTAAATCTTTTGTTGTTGTTCAGTTGTGCTTAATCCTAGATAGTTTCTAATGTCAGTTTCTGATACTCCCAGACAAAACCATCAAGGCACAGGAAGTAACAGAGGACAAGGAGTAAATACTGGAATAGACAGCCACATGAAAATTCAGACATTGAAATTTTTTCAAGAGTCATTGGACTTCCAAGTTATATTATTCATAAATGAATTCCTGTTATTTTTTTCATATAAGGTTCCCGGCCAAGTAAGAATTGGGCAGCATAAAGGTGGTTGTGAGATGACCAGTTTTAGAGTCAAAACAAAATTGAGAGCCAAACCAGAATGATTTTGCCATTTTTTACCATGGCTGTTCACCACCCTGAGTCCTGTTGGAGAAGGGCGGTATACAAATAAAATAAAATAAAATAAAATAAAATAAAATAAAATAAAATAAAAAATAAAATAAAATAAAATAAAATAAAATAAAATAAAATAATAAAATAAAATAAAATAAAATAAAATAAAATAAAATAAAATAAAATAAAATAAAATAAAATAAAATAAAATAAAATAAAATAAAATAAAATAAATAAGAGCCTTGGTAGTACAGGGGTTTAAGGCACCCTGTTATTAAGCTGGTTATTAAGACCAGCTGCCTGCAATTATTGCAGGGTTCGAATCTCGCCAAGGCTCAAGGTTGACTCAGCCTTCCATCCTTTCTAACTAAGTAGGTGAAATGAGGACCCAGTTTGTGGGGGCAATAAGCTGACTTTGTATAATTATACAAAAGAATGAAGGCTATTGCTGAGCACATTGTAAGCTGCCCTGAGGAGTCAAAACAAAATTGAGAGCCAAACCAGAATGATTTTGCCATTTTCATTTCTTTAAGATACGAGTTTCCAGGTGACGGCAGTTTTTATAGGAAATTTAGAAGTTGTCTTCTAGGCAGATAAAGGAGCCCTGAATCTCAAAACTTTTTTCTTTTGTTTTGTGTTTTGTTCCTGTGTTTTTAAAAAAAACTAATATACAGATTGAAGTGATGCATGAAGCGAGTCAGGGAGGTTCCAGCAGAGTCTTGGTAATAAGTGAAAGTGAAGAAAATCTTTCCACTAGGAGAAGGTAGGAAATTTATTGTTCTCAGAAAAGTGGTTATTATTATTATTTTTTAAAAAATGGGTCCATCTGTTGTTCTGATCAAGGAAGTGGTGTGTTACTATTGTGTCAGAAATATGTGCAATTTCAGGACCATGGGTGGGATTGGAAAAAAAGGAGGCTTTACATTCCAAATATATAGGTAGTCCTCAACCTACAACCATTCGTTTAGTGACCATTCAAAGTTCTAATGGTGCTGAAAATAGTGACATAAAACCAGTCCTCACATTTATAACTGCAGCATCCCCACAGTCACGTGATCAAAATTTGAGCATTTGGCAATGGGCATGTGGCAGCATCAGTGATTGCAATTTGTGGGCTTCCTAGCTATCTCTGGCAAGCGTAGTCAATGGGGAAAGGCGCATTCGCTTAATGACCATCTGATTCACTTAACAACTCAGTGATTCAATTAACCACCGTAGCAAAAAGGTCAGAAAATTGGGCGCGACTCACTTAATAACCCGCCTTGCTTAACAACAGATGCTCTGGTCCCAGTTATGGTCGTAAGTCAAGGACTACCTGTATTCCATTACTAGTTCCTTGGGTCTCTAGCACAAAATTTGAAGATAATGCTGTGTATATTTTATTTGTAAAAGGATGAACTAGGGTTCATTGACCTTGTATGAACCCAGAACATGGACCTATCTCAAAAAAATAATACGGAGCAAAAAAAAAAGATGCAGAGAAGAATAATCAAAATATAATAATGTAATAATCAGATCTCCCATGACTGGAGTTTTTTTCATCTAGCATGAAGGATTGACAAGATGCTTGGCTTGCAAAATATAGAGAAAAAGGCTTTCTCCAGAATAATATGGAAATTCAGAACTATCTCCTCTCAAAAATATTTGCATGCACTAAAAACCATTTATTAATATTTTATTTATTAGATATAATTTATTTTCTATTTTATTTATGTTTATATAAAATACATATTTGTACTTTATGATGTGTTTATAAATCAATATGTATTTTATACTTAGGAATATTTATTCATAAATATGTATTTATAAATCCTTGTTTATCTTTATTAAATGCTTATCTTTATGGAGGGGAATATTTTTTCTGAAACCAAGATGTATATAATACTTTAAAACTACTTCCCTAATTTTTAAGGGAAAAGCCATGTTATACATAACTGAGTGGGGATGGTATTTTGCAATATGTATATATGAATGTATATATATTTGTTAATGTGATATAAGTGAAAACTTTTGCAACATTATGGTTATTAATATTTTTTCCCATTCGAAGGATCCTCCAATACTATTTCCAAACCCTGTTAATGAATTACAATAAGGAATCACTTCCTTATTGTAACGGGAACTATTTTTAAATGCTTTTAATCCAATTTCCACATTATTTTGTTGCCATTTTAAGAGATCTCTAAAATTTATATCTTGAAGAATTTGTGTCTGTTTATAACTTCATACATGGAAGAGAAACCTACATACATACTGATTTTTGAATACAGTGGCCTTAATTCATGACTATTTCATAAACTCCCAAGACTAACAGATGAATCTAACTCATCTAAATAATCAACAACTCGTTGAAACTGCCTTTTTAAAATGACAGAATGCTGCAAAATAAATATGTACGACAACTAAGCTATGTTAGACGGTAGGCTTAGATAGAATTACTGATACAATTATAGAAAAGGCTAAAAATCTGTTTTTGTATTCATTTATGAGGAAGGAGGATTCAGACCTGGCAAAAATTACATTTCTGAGTGTCCCAGGTGTAATGTGATTGATAAGTAACTGTATGATCTTCTTTCCGGATATATTAAGTTTTAGATTATAGAACTGGGCTACTATATAAGCACACTCTTATGCCTCTTTATTCCTATAGATAAATATTCGCATTTTGGTATGTTTTGTAGTATGGAAGCATATTTATTCCAGAGGAAAATCTCCAGAATTATTTATTTTATTTTATTTTATGAGCGTTAAAGCCTCAGAACTCCAAAATGACTCTGGGTGGCTTATGTCAAGAATAATAAGAATAAAAATAGTACTATATATTAAAATCTATAAGCCAGTTCGATGTAGTCATTAAGGCACCATGCTAGAAAAATAAATACTGTAAATGTAATCCCATGTGTCCTGCCAATCATACTCCCTTTAATGAGAAATTACCAATAAGCTTCCATAAACACACTACACAAGGCCTGGAAGAACAAACAAATTTTTAAATTTGAGGGTAGGAGGAGAACCAGAGGAGCCCAACTTTGGCAACTTTAAGACTTGTGAATTTCAACTCCTAGGGAGTTGAAGCCCACAAGTCTTAAAGTTGCTGAATTTGAAGACCCCTGTAAAATAGTCTTTTGTGTTTTTTTGGAGGTTGGGGGTTTGAACCATTCACCAAACCCAAGGCTTTGCATAATGTTTAGGGAGAGGTTTAAAATACAAGATTCTTAAAATGTGTTTCTTTGGCAAAGCATATTCCTTCCAATTATAATCTGTTTTTCATGAGCACAGGCATATTTAAGGTGCACCTTTAAAAAATACATTAACGTTCAGTATTTTCAGTATAACCGTGGAAAGGTTATTATCCTGTAGAGAATACAGATTTCTATTACTGCTACAAAAGAAGTAAAATACTTAGTACATGCAAAATTGCTATCAGTAATTCCTATCAATATTTCAGGCTATTGAGATTAAATCAGGCCTTTTGATAAAATCAGGCCGTTTTCAAATGTTATGGAATGAAAGACTGAAAAACATTCCTGGGTCAGCCAGATACAGTTTATTGCGCAGGTTCAGAGCCAGATTTGTAACTGAAATTCTGAACCCCGGAATGTTGTGGATTTAATAAGACAAACACAACTTTTAGATTAATCAGAGACAGATTTTATATATTGCACAATAGGTTCAAAGCTCTGTACATGAAGCGTTGAACAAAGACAGAAATTAGGTACAATGGTTTTATACCCTTCTAGACAAAGGATTCTGTTAACTCAGCAATTCATATGGTCATATACATTTATCATTTTTAATTGACATTTCCTAATTACAGAGTTTGCAGAACAGTTATAATAATTCTTCTAAAAAGTTACTGAAGCATATTTTTCAAATTATCTCTTGTTGAAACAACAAAGTGGACATCTCTGTTACTCTGACCTTCAAGGTGTAAATCACGTAGACTGTTCTTATCTGTGACAACTGAGAGGCCTTGAAGTAAGCATCCTACTGGAAAGGAATGTCCCTGCCTGTGTTCTGAATATAATTGCAAGTAATTTCTCTCTTACAGTATTAAGAACAAAGAGGGCCCTTCAGTGACTATCTAGCTGGACCCGTGTTTATTGTATTATTTTATTTTTATTTGTTACCTGTTCCACCATACTCCCCCCTCTGAGAGTTTGTCTTATGCATAAACTCTCACAACTTACTTATAAGTATAACTACTGAGTATAAAAAGTTCCAATAAACAACTCTATGATATAAAAATGCTAACAAAATATAAGAATTAAAGGCATATAAAAGATTATATATGATTGTTTCTATTCTTCTAAGTCTTAGGAAGATTCTCTCCATCTTTCCACTGGTCCCATTTCCACATATGGATCTGCATCAGGATCTGTAGGTCCTTCCATAGGGTAGGAACCAAGTTGATTAAGAAAATGTTCTGTCAGAGCTAGTTCCTTTTCAACTTGAATCTCTTTTACTGTTCTTATTGATAGATGTTTCAGCATAGGGATTGCACAAGGAATAAAAGCTAGGCCTGCCACAGCCATATTAATTCACCCGGATCCAGGCAACCAAGAAAACCACATGTCAGTTGTTTATAACCTCTGACCTATCTTGGAAGCCCTATCCTGCAATTCCTTGGCAATTTCTCTGACCACACCTGATTTGTTACATGTTCCTGTCCAGTTTGTTGGTAAACACAAATATGCATCCTTTCCACATAAGAAGATTTATGGAAAAGACATGCACTCAGTAGTTTCTTGCATTAGTCCAGACCCCTAAATCCCTGCCACAGACATTCCTGCCAGTGGTTGCAATGGGACTTCCAGTGAGGGGTCCTTCTGTTTATCTCTGAGAATTGGTCCTTCAAAAACATATCGAGAGGTAGTATTTCCAGGTGGAAAAAGGATACACAAATCTGATTTGGACTTTAAGTTGAACCAGAGCGGAAATTCTGGAGGTTGAAATGGTCTTGGACAGATTCCATCCACCCCACTTTCCCTTCTTAAAGTTTATTTCTGGTAGCTTTTGTTCTAACCCAGAATTGTGGTTTGACAGGAACAGCATGATAAGATGTAGGGTCAGCAGATAGACATAACCAGCATTTCTGACCTAGGGTAGGGTCATACTGTTTAACAAGATCTTGACTTTATTCCAAAATCCATAATATATAGTCTCCTCTATGCAATTGTTGTAAAGGCCCATTTTCCTTATCTACTCCCCCCTCAGCTGGGTATGTCAAGATAGGAACCTTAGGTGGTGGAGTTGACTTAGGTCTAAGGTAACGACCCCGTGCATAGACAATGCGTTTTTGGCATGAGTGAACTTGACCTAAAGTGTAGTCATCTAGGGAATCAATGTTCCCTACATGGTTACTTGAGAATGCAAGAGCAAATAATGTCCAAAGCCATAAGCAAAACATAATCACTGTGGTGTGTAGCTCACAACATCAGGGAGAGGGTTAGTGGTGCGTGTGGTTTGGGATATAGCAGTAGCAATAAAAATCCTAGGTCTACCACAAAAACGTTCCTTATATATGTAAAACAAAATTACTAGCAAGATTAGAAAAACAAGTACCCACAAAATGTACTCCCAAACTTCTAATGACATCAGCATGTGTAAGAAAGAGTTATATTAAAGCTAAGAAAATGTATATGTGCACTGTGAAGGTAGTTTCCTTCTGATGAATCTTCCGCCGTGCGTAGAGAATCAGCTTCCGGAGTGATTCAGCAAGGCTGATGATCACCACCGTGCGTTGAGAGCCCGTTGCCGGTA